GGGGTAAAAAAAAAAAAAAAAAAAAAAAAAAAAAAAAAAAAAGATAGGGCCCCTATCTTTCTTAGGCTAACTAGGAGTAAATTTTCTAGATCTTGTGCTTTGGTTAAGCCATAAAAGGCTTATTGACTTAAGCCACTATTGAGATTAATTGGAGAAACTTCTAAACTGAGAAAAGAAATTTAGAGAGCTCTCATATTGATATAATGGCTAGGCATTAAGATTCCTTTAATGAAATGGAAGGACAGAAATTAAAACAAAAATCAAAGTTAACTCAGACCCCTTACTACATACCTTCAGACATTTGCAGATATTACAAAATCTAGCACATTAGGGGTACAATTATTTTGTACTTAAAGGAAGGAAATTTGAAACAGCAATTACATTAAACTTCTCGAAGGGGAAAAAACCTTCACATTTTTTCTCTCCCTTGCAGTTATAAATTTTACCATGTCTTTAAAATGTAAAGACCTCAGGAGATAACATCCCACAACGGCCTGAGACTGAGCCTAATGAACTCAACCAAGAAAACCTGAACCCACAGAAAATAAAGGAGGAAATGAGGTCTTTAAAAAAACTACAGCCCTAGCCAGGTCGTTCAGTTGGTTGGAGCATTGACTCCATAGGCCAAGGTTTGAGGTCAAGGTGAAGGCACATACAAGAATCAACCAATGAATGCATGAATGGGTGGAACAACATATTGGTGTTTTTCTCTCTCTCTCTCCCTCTCTCTCTCTCTCAATCTATTTTTTAAAAAGTACAAATTAGTAGAAAGGCTTTATCACCCAGATTCTAGCCCAGTTTCCTTAAAATCTTCTCAGTTCCCTTATTTGTCAGGAACAACAACAAATCTTAAAAGTCTCCTCCACAAATAATAAAATAATAGTCAATTGATATAATGGCTAGGAATTAAGATTCCTTTAATCACTTTCTGAGCAGATAAACTTATTCCTTAATTGACTATCTGAGCAGATAAACTTATTCCGACTGCTATCTATAAATTAATGCATTTTGCTAATATTATTGTACCTGTTTCATGGCTAAAATTTTAAAATAAGCTATCAGGGCCTGATTTGCTTCTGAACCCAGAGCTAGGAAGAGCAAAACTTGGTGCACATCTTGGTCCTGTCCAAACACAACCAGCCCCAGCAGAGGAAACCACAGCTGAGGAGAGCAGAAAACTTCAAGTGGGGTACTCAAGGCCAGTCACAAACAGTGTCTGACATTGGCCTGCACCAGAGACCATTCAATACACTGGGAGTACTAGCAGATCTAACACATACATAGAAACAAATACAAACAGACAGCCAAAAGGGTGAGACAAAAAAGCCCCAAATGAAAGAACAAAAGAATTCTCCAGAAGAAGAGCTAAATGAAATGGAGATAAGCAATCTATTAGATATAAAGTTCAGAATACTGATCATAAGGATGCTCAACAGCAAGAGAAAAGAAATGGAAACTATGAAGGAAATTGAGAAAGACACAACAGAAATATAAGACATATTGGAAGGAATGAGCAGCAGATTAGGAGAAGTTGAGGATCAGATCAGCAAATTAGAAGACAGGGTAAAAAAACCATTCAAACAGAGATTCAAAAATCAAAAACAATTTAAAAAGAGGAGGACAGTTTAAGGGAGCTGTGGGACAACAAAAAATGAAACAATATTCGCATCTGTGATTGCCAGAAGATGTAGAAAGNGTTTAAGGGAGCTGTGGGACAACAAAAAATGAAACAATATTCGCATCTGTGATTGCCAGAAGATGTAGAAAGTAAGCAAGGGTTAGAGAGCCTGTTTGAAGAAATAATGGCAGAAAACTTCCCTAACCTGATGAAAGAAACAGGCACACAAGTTCAGGAGGCACAGAGAGTCCTAAGCAAAAAAAATCCAAAGAAGCCCATACCCAGACACATCATAATTAAAATGCCAAAAATTCAAGACAAAGACACAGTCTTAAAGACAGCAAGAGAAAAGCAATCTGTTACCTACAAAGAAGCTCCCATAAGGCTTTCAGCTGATTTCTCATC